ATGCTGCAACAGTCGCTAAGTGTGAAAAATGGTCATCAGTCACTTTTTTCAATGCCATTGTAACTTTGGTCACTAAATGAACTGTGACATTTATAAAATTCTCTCTCCTGTACACACACTCCTTCAGCCTCTTTCTCTCTCTCTCTCTCTCTACCCCCCTCCTCTGGAGTCACTGGGACGTTTATAAAATTCCCCCTCCTGTGCACACACTCCTTCCGCTTCTCTCTCTCTCTCTCCCTCCCTCCTCCCTCCTCTGGATTCACTGGGACATTTATAAAATTCCACCTCTTGTGCACACACTCCTTCAGCCTCTCTCTCCCCTCTTTTTGGATTCGCTCTGAAGTTTTTAAAATTACCTCTTTATAGAGACCAGGTTATCAGCCACGTGAGACATACACTGTGTTTCTATGACACAGTAATCCCCTCCCCAAACAACACGCAATGTCAATTTAGAAGCCCCAAGCAGCCGAGGCGAAGCAGCAGTCTGGGAGGGGAGAGAGGGGGGGGGCTGAGCTTGGACAGCCTCGGAGGCAGCCCGCCAGCTCCGTGAGAGAGAGAAAGAGAGAGGCGGGGGGAGGGAGGGGCTGCTCAAAGCAACAGAAGAAGAAAAAATCAGTGAGGGAAGCCCGCGGTCTCCACATGGAGTAAAGTCTTCTCCTCCCTCAGCCATTGGCAACAGCTCCCAAGGATGCGCGGGCAGGAATGCGCTCAGCTCGAAGAATATACGCTCCCAGTTGCTAGGACAGCCTCAAGACTGCTGGAGGCTTTTTCGTAACTTAAAAATAATTGGGATTTTTTAAAAAAAACCTGGGACGTGGGACAAATTGTTCAAAAGGGGGACTGTCCCACCGAAAGCAGGACGTCTGGTCACCTTAGACTAGGGAAGACATGATAGCAGTGTTCCAATATGTCTGGAACTGCCACAAAGAAGAGGGAATCAAGCTATTCTCCAAAGCACCTGGGGGCAGGACAAGAAGCATTGGGTGGAAACTTTGTAATCAAAGAGAGAAGCAACTAAGGAGAAATTTCCTGATAGTTAGAACAATTAATCAGGGGAACAACTTGCCTCCAGAGGTTTTGAATGCTCCAACACTGGAAGTTTTTAAGAAAGAGATTAGACAACCATTTGTCTGAAGTGGTCTAGGGTTTCCTGCCTAAGCCAAAACTAGGACTAGAAGACCTCTAAGGCCCCTTCCAACTCTGTTATTCTGCTAATGTAGCATTATTGATGTAAATTTGTTCTTAGAAGGCAATGACTCAGTGTTGCTTCATATTCAAAATATAAAGTATGGTCAGTGTTCCTGCCTCTATTGATATTATTTATTACTTGTTTTTTTAATTAAATTTCATTTTTGATTCAGCTACAGAACGTCTAGAGGAGTGTATATAATGGAGAAAGAAACACTCCTAAATCTAGTTGTATTTCTTGTTCAGAATATGTCCTATTGCTTGCTTCCTGGCATTCATTTTCCTAGGTAGCTGTTAGATATTATATCTATTTCAATTGATCACAATGAATGATGAAACCAGGGCATATTGTGTTCCTGTACACCTTTAATTATAAATAAATCACCTTGATGTTGGTAGGATTTATTTCCACCCAGACATGCATAAAATTGAATGCATATGAGAGAAGTACATCTAAAAAAACCTTGGTACCGTGACATTAATAATAAGTGAATTATACATTCTACACCCAAATCAGAAGGAAGCTTTGGAATGAGATCCTACTGAACTGCCACAGGATATTTTGAGAACAGCAGTGTTAGCAATCTGAGCAAATTAAAATGAGAAACATTTGGAAATGTTATCATGGAATTTTCCATGGCAGCCAACCAGCCATTCTCTCATCTGGGATACATTATTCCATTTCCTACCGTATTTATATGGAATCATGCAGAGAATTTTGTGCTCACTGCATGCCTTCACTCATAACTGAGCTGTTTTAAAAGGATTTTTATTGTTATGGTTCCTTAGAGTTTTATTTCTGCTAAAAAAAAACCACGAGGTCCTCTTAAATAAGCGGATGCTTCCTCATTTTTCCTCCAGTACATTAGTTACTGAGGACCTAAATGAATTGTTGCTAGATAATGGTGGTTGGAACGGCGATCATGTTATGGAAAAATAATGAAATAGCCTCATGTAAATTAGGCTAGTTTTTTACATTTTAAAATAATGATGTTTTTAATCAGAATAGTCTAGCATGCACATATGCAATCTCCTGTGTCTTCAGAAATGTGGATTTACAGGTGGTTGTTACATATAAATTGGGTTGACAAAATCAGAAATGAGGAGGTGATAAGCTGCCTGGGAAAGCCAAGGGAAACCATAAAAAATGAAAGTTAGAATATTTTGGACATGTGATGTGACACCCAGAAAAATACACCATATTTCACTTAATCCCCCGAGGAAAGATTGAAGGCAAATGAGATCCAGACACAAGAAGAACATTGTGGCTTCAAAATCTAAGGGACTGGTTTGGATAAAACTTAACAGCACTTTTTCATGCAGCTGTTGATAAAAATAGGATCAGCAACATCATCGCCAACGTCCGATGACAGATACGACACAAGAAAAAGAGTGTCTTCAACAAAAGCTTTATGTGTCATTGATGACATACAATTCAGAATCTGAAGTATGTGTGGAACGAGTATCTTACATTGTTGAAATGTGTTGGTATCAAAGTAAGGTTCCTGCTTTTAACTAAGATCACAAATGCACGTATGTCTAGTTTTAGAGGTGTTGGTTGAGGAGTCTCCTGTCCAAGAAGACCCCAAAAGCAAGAAATAATAGCAGACCACCGGGCCTGGGGGCATCAATGGTTTATTGCTAAATTATTGATATGTTACCTTTTGGGACGTGCAATCAGTCCACAGGGAGAGCCGTAGGCCCCATCCATAATAATTGTAGTAACTCATCAACTTTAAGAACCCAAAGATTTATCTGCTCTTTGTGTTTCGAGGAATTATTGATTTTAATGGCAGCAGCAGAGGAAGTAATTATCTGCTAGGCAAAAGGAGGCAAATTCAGTGACAGGAAAGTAATGTGTGGGAGATAGTAATGGGCAACTGGGTGGGACAGGAGACAGCGGGCAAATAATCCAGGGAAACTAGCAGCGGAGATGTTCTGTGGAAAGTCTGTAAAAGCCTGTAAAAATCTTCAAATGTGAGGTGCAGTTGAAAAGAATTTTATTAACACTATAACTATTTTTTTAACTAAGGAAAAGACAAGATATCGATATACCTCTTCTGTATGCATGCAAATGCTTCCCAGCTCCTTGTAAATTAGAAAAGAGCAATGTATGTTTGGTTTTATATCTATATTTAAATGCATTTATACAAGATAAACATTATTGAATGGGTATATAAAAGTCTTGGATAGCTCCTTGCATTAAATAAATGAACTCCATTCTTTTATTTTCATAATCTGGATGCCCAATTTACAAAAAGATTATTTGGGTGCATCACCAGGAAACCCGCCCCCCAAATATCCCTTTGAGAGTCTATCCTGTTTCCCCAAAATAAGACCTCCCTGGATAATAAGCCCTCCCCAAAATATTTAAATGCAAGTGCAGCTGGTCCCTGCCATTTCCTGGGGGGAGGGAAGGGTTGGGAACATGTCCCATTCACCCCACATGCACCTGCCATCCATGTGGAATGGCCTCATAGAAACAGATAGAGCCGAAGTGGCGCAGTGGTTAAATGCAGNCTTCTTCTTCTTCTTCTTCTTCTTCTTCTTCTTCTTCTTCTTCTTCTTCTCCTTTTCCATTCAATTGTATTGGCTTCTCAGAGTCTCCCTGGACAAGTCCCTGCAGTTTTCTCAGCAAGGTTTTTCGGAGGTGGTTTGCCATTGCCTCCTTCCTAGGACTGAGAGAAAGTGACTGGCCCAAGGTCATCGAGCTGGCTTTGTGCCTAAAGCAGGACTAGAACTCCTGGTCTCCCAATTTCTAGTGTGATGCTTTAACCACTAGAGAAAACCAGCTCTCTTTAACAAGGATAACTGAATATAATCAACACCGACTGACACTGACTACAAGGGTAGGCAGTTGATTAGCTGACACTGCATTAAAACTTCCTTCTGATCTACTTCAAATTGGCTGGCTTAGTGTTTTTTTAAAAGTGTTTTTTTTCCACTTCTGCATTAATGCACTTCATTTTCATGCTGAAAAAGGAAGGGTTTCAAATCTGCTATTTCAGTTGAAAATTTATTTTTCCATGCCCGTGAAATAGCAGTTGTTCTACTTTGAGATTTTTCATCCTCAGTATCCAGAGTTTTGCACCCCAGACCGTTTGATCCAAACATCAGGCATATCAGGTTTGCTGTTTGGTAGAACAACTGGATCCACGCCTCCTAATCCTCCTATTCGTGTCCTTCTCAAGCCATTGTTTTGCTGGGATGCTGATGCAGAGGTGTCAAAGACAGTCTCTCTTAGGTCCAGCCTCAGGGTGTCTCTCTTTCCATTCAGGTGTCCTCTTTGAGTGGAACAGCAAGCATCAGCTACATCTAAATGATCTGGACAGGAGCTGGCTGATTCCACAATTTTTATGCTGGGTTCAAAATCACTGAGAGAGGTCTCGCTGGAGATATTCTGAACACTGAAAGAGCTACCAGTGGAATAAAGGCATCTGTGAAGATCATACAGTTCAGCTTCTGGCAGATTACTGTTTTCTGAGGTATAATCTGATTTTTGTTGATTGGCATTGCTGGAATAATGAGATTTATTTAGCAGTCTGTCATCTATTGTGCTGGCTGACTGGGAATGTTCCCAGGCTTTCGGATCATATTTTTGGCACCTGCACTCACTGCAGAGCTCATCTTGATGATTTTCTGCTTCTATTCCTGAGTTACTTCCAGGCTTGTAAGGAGAAGATGTTTGCAAGGCAGGGCACCGACAAAGAGATATATGGCATCCCTCAGTTTGTTCTAGCTTCTGTCTGTCTCTCTCAAAGGATGAGTGAAGCTCCATTCTAGGGCACCGGTTATCCTGGAGCTGAATATCTTCAGATAAGACAGATGGACGATTGGACAGTTTACTTGTGGAAGTGCTATTGTCAAAGCTGTCACTGAGTTTCCGGGCCAAAGGCTGGAGTTCATACTGTTCATTTGCACCATTGGATTCCTGATCTTTTGCTAATCGGTTCTGTTTCTCATTTCCTCCACAAGTGAAAGTTCTGTTGGAGGAGTTAGGGCTCTCGGAGTAGTCCTTCAAAATATGAATACACGGCCAAAGAATTTGTCCACAATTCTTATTTGGACCAAAGAAGCAGCACAGAGATTGGAAGAAGAATGTGGCAAAGCCACAGCTGATACATTTGATCATCATCATAAAAATCCCTAACTTCCTGTATGCTAGCACAGTGGCAGGTAACATAATCACACCTGCGGAAAACAAAGCAGAAGTTCCCATGATGGTGGCACAGCTCATCTGTTTCAGAGAAAAGGCTACCCGGCTCAGACGGTCACAGTGGGAACACAAGTGGTAGGCAATGCAGTAGTTCACCGTGAAGTCGACGGAGAGGCCCACTGCTGCTGAAATGAAGAGGGACTCCATAGCATTCAGCTGCCATTCCAGAAGAACCAAAAGTCCAACAGTTACCAGAGCAGTACCTGCTACAGTGATAACAGAGAATGCAGTAAGAAGGACATTCCAAGTTGTGAGCAAGAGAACCACAAAACAGATGGCTATTGACAATCCCAGCACCACCATGGTGTCTGTGTCGGTGCTATGCTGGAGATTATAGAGCTCCAATTTACTGGTGAACCAACCATTTTGAAGCCCCATGGGGGCTACCTTTATCTCTTGTCTTATCCATAAGCCAACCTCATCGTAAAAATGTTTCACCTTGCTGTAGTTGGAGCTATAGTAGTAAATGGTTTGAAACTCTAGCACCAGGGCAACAAGATTGCCCTTCTCGTCGAATCGGAGACCAAAGTCACGATCTTCGGCTTCTTCTCTGTTGTGCTCCATTATCATCATTTTGATGCAATGAAGAAAGACTTCTCTGCCATATGGGAAGGAGAAGTGGTTACAGCAGAGGTTGAAGCTGTGATCCCTCTTAGAGCACTGCCTGCTGTCCATCCACTGCTGAAATTCCTCCATGAAACAGACTGTGGATTTTTGTTCCACGTCAGTGTAGTAAAAAGTATGATTCTTGACATTTTGGCAGAATTGCAGCAGCCACCTTTGCGCTTCAGGATTTTCAATGGTAAAGGCTGAGTCTCTCACCAGAGTGCCATTACTTTTAGGATTAAAGTGATCCGCATTGTCCACTGGGAGTACACCCCACACAATAGTGATAGGCATGTGCATGTCTTCTCGTTCTAACCTTTCAAACATGAACTCATTACAATATTCGGCATCATATCTCTCAAAGGGGTGATTTAACCTGAACACTTGTATAGACGACCTCTCCAAAGTTGGGAGCCTTAGTCGAGGATTTAGACAGGAAATATAGGCGCCACCTATAGCCAAGGCAGCAAACCAACAGATCCAGATATAACGGAATTTGATTACTCCACAAGGAAGAACTTTCTCAAATAATAATTTGGAAGTTTCACACCACGTGGTCTGGATACTCTGGAGGAGATGATGGAAAGACAGAATGACCCTTTTGTGCCCAGTATTATTCCAGTAGTGTTCTGGTTTATAAACACACTTCCTTGCTATGAATCGCTCATACAGTACAACTGAAGCAGGGAGCCACGTCAACATAAATATCAAGTTCACCAGGACAGAAGTCCCCATGTAGATGGCGAAACAGCGGATGGCCGTAATGTAACTCATGTAGCTTGTATAGAAAGCAGCACCAGTTGTCAGGCAAGATGCCATCACGAGGTAACCAAAATGATGCATGGTTGTTCTCACCCACTGCAACAGCCCTGCAGATGGATTCTGGCTCTTGCTACGATTCCAGAGGTCAAAAAAGACCAAAGTATGGTTGGCACAAATACTGCTGAGAATGATCACCGCAGATAGGTTTGCAAAAGGGAAGTAGGAGAATTGGAAGGCCACCTTGTACAAGAAATACGAAATCATCAGGGTACCAAAGACAATCATTATGACGACAAAAGTGATAAAGACCGAGTGTAAATAACAAAATATACTTAGAAATATTGCCAGTATTGCCATGATTGGATACACGGTATCCAGGAAAAGGTAGTGCTGGAATAATTTCTGCTTAAGGCCCAAGTCCATCCCAATGATGGATGTGTAGTTATCAAACAAGTCCCCTGACTCAAGATTATTTAGGTAGATTCCTAGCATGGAAGCTCCCTTCATGGTTGGCAAAAACAACAGGCTATATTTCAGAGTTGGCACTTGATATCCCACTGTCTGCAGGCTGAGAAAATCTCTGTCCACTAAGAAATGAAGGAGCTCGTAAACTGCGTGGAACCGAGTGCATTTCTCCGGGAGTTTAGAACATTGTACGTGTTTGTCTCTTTCAGTCTTGAAACCAATGCATGAAGGAACAAGAATGCCTTTATGGTAGTCAGGGGCACAAGAACGTAGGAGGGCCAGGGTGTGGGAAACATCCGCCTGGGTAATATCGAAGCAAGAAGATCGGTTGTGTAGGGCAGCAATATAGTTCCCAAGAGACCAGCTTGGACAGCATTCGTTGGCTTCGGTACGTTGACACAGGTTTCCAAACTGTGGGTGTGAACGGATCTGGAAAACGGCCAAAAAGAAAATAATGCATTAGGTTTTTCTGTGTCTCTCACCCTTTCTTCTTCTCCCCCCCCCCCAATATCCTCATTTTCTGTCACTCTGAGGCTTTGTTGGGCTGATGACAACATGAGGTTGCCAACTGGAAATCAGTGTGCAAAAACTGTGAAAAGATTATTTGATGACAATAAGAGGACAGTGAGCTGGAACTAATCATTATCTTTTGCTGCATAACATAAACATTAAGACAAATGATGATGATGATGATGATGATGATGATGATGATGATGATATGACAGCCAAAAATGTGTTTATTCTCCGAGTTAAGAAAGGTAATCACTTCAGCCTTTACTCCATATGCTAATTACCTTTTATACTAGATACATAAGCCATCCAGAGTCGCTTTATCAGGGAGATGGACAGCATATACATTTCATTGATAATAATATGCAGTTTGTAGTGTCAAACATAATAATACTGTAATAGGATTTAAAAAAGAATTATCAAGCATTTTAATGAAGTGGACATTTTCAGATTCTCATAACTTTTCATCAAGCATAAGATAACATAAGCTTTGATACCTAAATGCCATAGTTTCACAAAGCATAAATATACTTTCATTTTGAAATTACCCCAATACAGATCTTTCACTTTAAAAACATCCATTAATCAAAGGATTAACTTTCTTGCCCTTTGTCTTCTTTTCCTTTTTCTTGTCTTTTTTGTATTTTATCCTCTTCTGATTTTTAGAGCCACAAGCTTTTACAATGAAACCTTTAGACAGACAGACAGACAGATCTTCTTTAATCTGTTTCTTTTAATATAATAATTATTTGATAATAGATATTTCCTAGATTAAGAATGGCTACTCCTTTTATCTTATTTCAGAATATTTCCTTTCCCTTGCCCTCTTCTCCCCTAGGTAGGAATGAGTTGTGGCATTAGTCTGAGATTATTAAAGAATATGGTTAATTCACCTGCCAGGACTGCTACAACTACAGGGTTTAGCGCCCCCTACAACAGAAATTTATTTATTTATTTATTGTTGATTTGACTGCCCAATTCCAGTGAACTAGACTAGATTACTTCTACAGTACATTTTTACTATAATATTCTTATCTTTTCCCCTTTCAATTTTTTCCCCACAAATCTATTTTGATCAACCAAAAAAAGAGAGTTTTTTTCATTACATTTTGTTGTTAATTCCATATTGGAGGATGCTGGATTCTCATTCCTTTGTGTGCATATAAATGATCTCAGAATTACATAAGTAATTTAGAAGTATGAAAGTGGAATCTCTCACTTTAGGGAAATGTGTTGATTCCTCAAAACACTACAAACCTTGTTCTGTTCCATTTGACACATGGATTGTATCGCTTGCAAATTCCACAAGCTCCCAGCAGTTGTAGACATGAAAACCAGCTGAGAATAATTCTTTCCTAAAAGGAAAACAAAATACATGTAGTAACAAAGGTGAAGAGACCAGACAAATTATTTGGAACAATAATAGTAATAGTAATGATAATGATAATGATGCTATATAGGCTATTTTTTAAATATTTTTTTTTTAATTTAAAACAAATACAACATTCTTCTTTACATGCTATAGAAAGTATATCAGTTGGTTACAAAAAGACTTTCGTGCATATCTTCCACAGTCAACAAATGTAATTCATATTAACTTAAGTATTTTAACTCAAATATTCATACATGTCACCATTATCATATCTCCATTTTCATTTGACTATAATTTTTTAAGTGTCCTTCATCATAAAATATACCAAAATTTAATACATAACCACATACTGGCCTTTCAATTATTATTTCTAAAATCCTCCACTAACACTAAATCCTTATGTCCTNTCAATGAAGGGAGAAAGGGAAAGCATCTTTTTATAGCCTGTTTGGCTTTTCATATTCTTCCAAACTGTGAGCTTTCTGCCAATCTCTGTGTCTCGTGGTTCAAAACCCTATTTATAATGAAGAAAGGAAGATTTTAAAAAACATTAAAAACGTGATATTTTATCAGCTACAACAGGTATTTTGGTACATGTCTCAATCAATCTTGTTTTTTAAAATACGTACAGCCTTATGATCCCAAAGAAAAATTAGAATAGGTCTGTTTCATTCTAATCAAGATTTTCAGAGTCTCTTTTGACATTCTTGTTATCATTCAGTTTTGAATAATCTCAAATTCTTTCATTTCAGACCATTTAAGTTTCATTTCAGACCATGTACTCTAATTCATTCAGGTGGGCCTTAGGCAAGAACAATCTACAGAGGTTAGGGTTCAAAACAGGCAAGATGGCAGTCATGGTGGCACAATCCAAGCCAGGTGGGATCATTTTATGTGGGTAGATATGAGAGACTTACACTGGGCTGCCTAACGTCCATCTTGTCTGTTTTGATACCTTTTGTAATATGTGAATGAGTCCACTTCCTTGTTTTGACTAATTTTTATGTTGATGCTGCCTTGTAATGAATCTTTAAGAATCTTGTTTACTAAATATAGAATGGAGCCCATTCACATTCTAGAAAAGCCTGCAATTTATCCCAGAATGTATAAAGGACAAATCATTTAATGGTTTCTAACCATCTAAAAGAGGAGAATTTAAAAACAGTACTTTAAAGGTTAGTCTCTAGCTTTCCCCCCCCAGCATTCTCACTGGTACCCTATAGGAAGAGGGAAAAAGTGAATGAAGTAGCTAACAATAAACAAAATTTAAGCATTTTGAATCTAGTTCAGTATTAATTAGTCTGACTAAAAGCCTTCAAACATACTTTCAGTTCTATCTGGCAATTGAGTTTAGCTTCTTTATATACAAAGCACCAAACTATGTGGCCCTTCCCGTAACATTTTAACTTAGGGATTCTTAAAGCATTCAAAATTCATTAAAATCAAGTTTCTGGGAAAGTACGACAAAATGCAGTTACCGTCCTGAGATTTGCTTCTGCATGCTACTGGGTGGAGAGCAGATAGCAAACTTTTAAAGTAAGCACCCTCAAACAGTAGTCCTCCAAAAGACTAATATCCCCACCATCTCCCAGCTCTATGAAAACATAGTTCAGTTGTAGACTGGGGAGCATCCAATTGGGCATGGCTCTTTGAAATCCCAAGTTATGTAATCAGTATGAACTTACCCACATGGGCTCAGAAAAATCTGGCACATTTCCTACTAGTAGGCCCACCAAAGTACAGATCAACACAGTCACCGAACAGAACACTAAGACAGCAATTGGCCACTCAGCAATCACTTGGGATAAACTAGGAAAGAAGCAATAAAATAAAAACTCAAGCAACTGCTTTTTCTTTCTTTTTCTATTCCATTTGATTTGATGATCTGTCACAAGATAGAAAAGTAAACAGGCAAAACAAATAGATGGTTTTAAAAATAATCTAGAGATGTCATTTGATGACTTCTCTGCAAAGAGAGTCGATGGTACTATTGCTCGTATTTGCCTCCTCACACAAGTATCTTATTTTTACTTAACAAGTGTTATAATCCCCATAAGATGAGGGCTATATTGCAGCATGCTGGGGTCCAGTTAATCAAGGAAGATTGTACCAAGCTGTCATGCAAAATGCAATTGATGTCCAATCGTCCAAAGGCAAAGAAGCAAAAACTATTGGGAGAACATAAACCTAATCTCTTGGGTTTCCTTCCTTTGACATACTCTTTTACCAAATTTGGGGAACATTCTTATTTTGTTTTAAAGGTTTCACAGACAGGTGGTTCTTTTCCCTACATCTGATCAAAATTGTTGGCATCTCCTGCCCACTACATAAACTCAGAACATAAGGTATCTATTAGGTCAGGCCAGGAGCCATTTCTTCCAGTACTTTCCCACACAATAGGCAACCAGATGTCTTCAGGTACCTCAAATGGACAATAGAGGAGATTGGCATCTAGTTACAATTTACAATGTATTGAAATTCTATGAGATTTATTTTGGTTTCTGTTTACACTATTCCAACATTCCACACACTTATATTTTGAAGTAAGATGGTTTGATATTTGTTTTTCTTCCCCCCCCCCCCCCTGAAATCTAAGTACTGGTGTAGTCCTTCATCCTCGCATTACATTTTAGTAATAGATGCCTTACCATGATAAATAAACAATGCAGAGGTGGGTTCCTACCAGTTCGCACCTATTCGGTAGAACTGGTTCGTCAAATCTACCGAACCGGTTAGAAGAGGTTCCACCAGTGGACCCGGAAAGCAGGCCACACCTACAGAAGAGGTTCCAAAATTTTTTGAAACCCACCACTGATCCTTGGATATGATTATTCTACACTATCATGCTCATATTTATAAAACTCAGTGCCTCTGTGAAAGGTAAGGATGACTACTGCGTTTATGGTGCAATCAGAACATTCTGTGTGTTGAAGTTGTTTTAATGCAAACCAAAGATGCCTTTTAAAAAACAAGTTTACATCATATTCTTATGCATGCCAATGCTGTGTGTGAGGTAATTTAAGGTGGTTCTGACAAGTGTCGTCGGCATCTTCATATCCGGTCACATGGGTAGCAAGCCACTCCCATCCAGTCACATGGGCAGCAAGCCACTCCCACAAAGGTGGCCACACCCACAGAGTAGGTTCAAATTTTTTTTGAAACCCACCACTGAAACAATGTCATCAATTTGAAGTTAAAGCATGTAAGATACAAAACATGTCTCATTTCATGCAGTGAATCATTATATCCAATTATCTGCAGAATACTGTAAATGTGGCTATGGTAGTTTAATTGAAGCTCCATCTGGTTTTTCTGGGAGTTGTGATGGACAGGAAAAACATGTGGAGCTTCTGACACACCATCATGGCTGCCATCTTCATTTTTTATTTTTTTTTGCTATTATACTCTGAAGATACTGGGAAATATTCAGGAGAATATTCAGAAAATCCCTGTGTTTATAGAATATAGATACATTTTTGGGATCAGAAATTTTCTGCTAAGCCTTCGTATTCAACAATCATAGCATAACAAGTTTGCCACTTTTGACTTTGGGCAGGTATACTGGACTGCATTTTCCAAACATCCTAGCACAGATTGGGATTATTAGTTACATAGATGGGAAAGTCTGAAGCATAAGAAATTGTATGTTAATAAATCTAGTGTAACTCAAGCCTGAATGTAAGAAAATGTAACAAAACTGTGAAAGGAAATGTGTTAAAAGAAAACCAAACAAGGTCAGCTAGTAAATATGTCAGTAACGTACAGTATGTGTGCTGAATCCTGACTCTTTAAACAAAAATTTGAAGCATTAAAAAAGCCAATTCCAAGCTAAATACTGTAAATAAGTAATTATTACACGATGAAGAATGACTAGATATATTGTGTAAGCATACTTCTAATTTACCTGTTGTGGATTCAATAGTTTTTTTAAAAAAAACATGGGCCTGATTTTTGCGGTCTTATCTGCTTTAGTTAGAATAAACTGGGAAAAAAACCCCAAACACATGTAACTCAGCCAATGCAAGGTGACTGTATGACTACTCTCCCATTTCCAAACTCTGAGATAATCATAAATGATTCCAGGAATACTTATTATCATGGTGCATGAATAATAGAGAAAGAGGGCCAAACTATGACAGTATTTCTCAAGCTCAGCAACTTTAAGACTTGTGGACTTAAGGGCCGGATGTGTCACACGCTAGCCACGCCCATGTCCAGTTTAGCGAAGAGGAAAAAAGTCCTGATACATCACGTGACACCATCGTGATGATGTGGGTTTGACACCCCTGATTTAACTGCTGGCCTTTGCCTGCCTGGAATTATGCAAGAGTAATATTTTGGCTCATTCAAAATAACTGGATTAAAGGAAGAAAATGTGAAATAATAGAAGGGCATGAAATAATGGATTTTAACCTACCTCTTTGGCATCCTGAACACTTTGTCATGTCTGTAGGGAGAAAGATAATCATTGGCTTATTAATTTCATGCCAAGCATAGTTCTTTATTGATTTGACCATTTAGCCTTCTGAGCAAGAAAAATGCAGAGTCAAAATTCCATGATGTAGCACAGGCAATAAGCCCTAATGTGTAGCATCTAAACTTTGATTGTTTATTTCAACCAGGAGTGAAATTTATTCATCTGATCAGTAACTGTGTGTCTTAAATCACCAGTGTTTCTCAAACAGGTGTTTGTGGGTTTAAAGTGGAGATTTTAGACCACCAAAAAAGCTAGTGAGTGCTTACACGGGGAAGGCTAATCTAAGAATTTTTCCCCCTCTGTGTTAAATTCAAACTCATGCTAACTAAAAATAATTTATACATAATTTTCATCATCATATTTATGTTGAATTATCTTCGTTAAATAATTTATTTAGATGTTCAAACTCATCCTGACTGTTGTTACATTCCCAAACTCCAATAATTTTAACCTAAGACTGTCTACTATTGACCTCACCCCATTCCTAAGAGGTCTATAAGGGCCGTGCTTAAGCACACCAGTGTGCCTTCTGTCCCTGTCCTACTGTCTCCATTTATTTGTACCCATTTACTGTGTTCATATTTATGTTTATACTTATACCTGTTTGGCAAACTAAATAAAATAAATAAGTAAATAACTAAAAGAAAACATTCACTTTCAAATCTTGCTTGACCTGAGAGATACAATTTCTATGGTGTTGAATTTTGCTGTAGATTTGGAGTGTTAAGAATCTTTTCAAGGATTTCGTTCTATACCTTTGAGAGATCAGAACTTCTAGGATTCCACCTCTCCTAAGGCAATACTTTACAAGACTTTCCAAATTGAAATTTGGCTTGCAGCTGCCTCCAAAGCAAGCCATAGACAACAACATTGTGGTGGAGATCAGAAAGAATGCAAAATATTAACTCTTTTATTGCTCCTCAGAAAAGGGATACAATGAACTCTTCCTTCTTATGCCCAGCTCTTACTTCCTTATAGATCAAGAAAAGTACAAAGAACATCCAGATTAAGAAGTCTGCACTGCCAAGATCACTACTCAACCAAGAGCCAGGCATGAATAGAAAGTTCAAAGAATTTGCAAGCTCTACTAGAGCCATAATATGGACACGAGTTTTAATGATAGAATGAAAGTGAAATATGATACTTATTAAAATGTAGATATCAGGGTTTACTGAATCAGTTGATTCATAAGTTGATTAATTTATGAATCAAGTGCTCAAATTCTGCTTCTGAAATATAAACACTAGCATTTCTGTTGAAAGCATGTGGCAGCTTTTACCAGCTTGGTGCCTTGCAGCTCCTATCATTCTACACCAGTAAGGGAATGTGCTGGCTGCATAGGGGTAGGAGTTAAAATCTACCACTTCTCTGGGGCACAAACCATGCCTTTATGAACAATGCCCTTCAAAGCTGCCCATACTGCTTGAAATAAGAGAGCTTATGGGGAGCAGGGGGATGAATGGATAAGAGACTATGCAAACATAGCAGAATGTGCTAGGAAAGAGCCAAGAAGCTAGTGAAAAACTAGATTTACCAATTTCCTTAATGTTACAGGAATAATGCTAAATAATATTGATGACATAGAAATATTTTAAAATAAAAAAAGATAAATACCAACATTTCCAGCTTGTGATATGTACCTATTTTAAAAACATCAGCATGCAGGATCCAAAATTGAGAATGTTCAAAATTACTTTTAAATTAGAATTTTTTTTCATTAGAATTTTGTCAAGGGAAATAACTTATTTTGTCACTCTCCCCATCCAGTTTATTCTAAAATAAAAGCAGATTGCGCACCCAGTCGGGAGGAAAGCCTACATTAGTCGTATATCATACAGCATTCTAAAGATTAAAATAAATTTGTTTCTGCCTCTAAAACTTTATAAAAATATGATCTTTAAAAACTTTCTCTGGAGTGAAAACACACACAGACTAAAACTGCAAAACCCACTTGGAAAAGGCAGATTCATTGATTTATGGTACGTGGAGTTTTAGAGTTAGGCTTAGCTCCCAAGGGTGCACTAATGCTTCAAAATAACACAACAAGCAACCCTTAGATTGGCCCGATGCCAGGAAGGGGATCGTTAAACTTCAGCTACTAACGTTGCTGTTGCATAAAAATAAAATGTCTGTTGTCATTAGCTATGGTCCAATGAGAAATTAATGAAGGGAAGGTTATTAAATGAGAATAAGGCCAGCCTATAAACCATCTTGTATCCTGAGGGTCTTTTCATACCTTTTATAGTGTTGTATTCACACTTTGCTATTGAATTTAGTTTGGCTATGGAGTCATACCCAATCTTAATTTCCAGAGGAAATGGGAATATATTCAGTATATTTACTCAGGTTGTTTATTAGCTTTTTGAACAGGTACCAATACCCAAAGTCTCAAAAAAAACCTGCATTGTGCAGGTAAAGTGATGCTCTAAAATTAAGCTACTGATGAAGAGCATATAAAATTAGGATAGCTATGCCAGATAGCTTATGATTGAAGAAGCAAGGAATGATATAATTTGTTTAGTGTTAACTCAACAAAAGGGGAGTTAAAGTACAAGTGAAGGATGATGCTGAAGTCTGTTAGTTTACTTTAGAATATGATTGTTAAAGATTTATACCCTGTATTTGCTCTGGGAGGTTGAGGGGGGGGGGGGGGGGGGGGGGGGGGGGGGGGGGGGGGGGGGGGGGGGGGGGGGGGTGGGGGGGGGGGGGGTGGGAGAGGGGAGGTAAATATTTGTAAAAGCTTTTTAATTTTTTAATAAAAAAATTAGTATAGCTATGGAATGGCTATTTTAGAAAGAAATGCATCATCAGTTCCTCCCCAAAAGATCAAAGAGTAATATCTGTGTACACACGCCTATTATGATTTCATTAGAACTAATGTATAGCTCACCATAGTGGGAAGAGAGTGAGCAGGTGATAGGAGTTGCTACTGCTCAATCCATTGTCCAGGACTACCCATGAATGGACAGCTTCCCCTTCCTCCCCGTTCTTTGACTCCTATCTTTTATGTAGCTATCTACCAGGCCTTCAGGGGAGAACAAATGCCTTCCACACAGCCCATCACTCTTATAGAGACATGCTAAACTGCCAGGGTATGTGGTTCTTACCTGACTGTTACAACATGGTGTTGCACTGGACGTACATGCTGCTGGTCTTGTGGCCATTGCTTCCATCTACTCTCAGTAGTCTCATGGCGGGGAGTTGATAATGAATCCCCACTGGAGCGTTGGGAGCACAAAGTAGCTCGGTCCCCATGTCCTGGCAGAGGGGGCAAGGCATAGCTGCTTCTGGTGGCTTCTTGGTGGTTGCAGTGATAATACAGGTGAGGCTGGAAGGAGTCCTGAGAGCCTGATGGCAACTGGCCATTGGACCGAGTGGAGATGGGTGCAAGCTTATGACTGGAACTGGGCTGATGGTACCTCACTGTGCTGGGAGAAGCATTGAGCAGACAGTGATGGACTGGGCATCTCCTTCCCCAGGAAATTCCACTGGGGCTTGACTCAGCCTTCCTGATTTCTGGTACATTAAGACAGGCTTGACCAAGCTCTGGGTTTGCTTTTTCTCTGCAAAAAGAAAACGTTAACTTTGCAGCTTTCCTTTCTGTTTCTATTTGCTTTCCCCACAAAATGTAGTAAAATGACAGTCCCTGACATTATCCCTTAAGTAAAAACAAAACTTATCATGACCTCTGTAAACACTGAATGAACAGACTTGAATTATTAGTTAATTCAACAGACTTGAATAATAATGAGCGCAGTACCATCAAATCGTGTTCCACCAATATATCTTTTAAACTTGTATTATGCAGGCAGCAGGGTTCCTGACAAAATGCTCCTTTGACTCTATGGAGCAGAAGAAAGCAATAATACTCTAGCATCCAGATGGGAAGACAGGAGATGGGGTAATGAAGAAACAAGTCCTGTTGCCCTGCTCAAGCCAGCTTTGTTGGGACTTCTCAAATCTGCAGGCACCTCTCATTTTGAGATAAAATCAAAATAATTAGCAATTTTTATCTTTCACAAACCTATGCTCTCAATGCTTCAAAAACATAGGATTGCGAATGCAGAGAAACAGATGGCTCAAATGAGCTCAGTTTATAGATTTTTCAAGTAGCCACACCAAAAATATTTATTTTATTCCTGTAATTTCTTTACATTGGGAGAAGAAATGAACTGCAATAAGTTTAACCAATATATTTTTTTATAGTTAGCCACTTTAAGTTTCTAGAAGGAAAGCATACAATAATAGTGATAATTAATTCAAGGATCATTAATAAAATAAACCGTTTTTTGAAGAAAGATGATCTAAGCGGGCTGAATGAAAAGCAATACCTCCAATATTGTAAGTGCCAACAGATGACAGCACTGAAGTGCTAACAGATCTGAAGTTTTCTTTAGCACCTGTCTTTTTTCACTCTAGTAGGTGGTAGAAAGTTGCTGTAAGAAAGTTTGTGCTGCTATTTTTTGTGAAACAGAAACCTACAGCATGTACTTATCAGTGCACTTTAAGCAATGTAATATGATTGATTCAGGTTGATTATAGTGATGACTGTATTGATGTGAGTCCTGTGCATTGCTTTAAAAGAATAGTGGAAGAACTTATTTGTGTGATCAAGAACAAAGTGGAAACCCATGACAACAGCCAATAATTTCACATGAGACATATTGATGAACTAATTAACTGGCAATAGGTGGATTATTCAAAAGGAAATTACTGACAATTGGATTTCACTGGAATGTGTTCATTACATTACTGGCAATTTTTAAATATTAGAGGGAACATGCCTGATGGGTTCCTCACATGATGATGACAGAAACGAAAGCTTCAAGAATTGAAATTTGCATCAGTACCAAAGAAATATGGAAGTTTGGTATCAGTACCAAAAGGAAATATGTTTTCCTTTTCCATTTCTTTGTTTGTACCCCATAATTTTGTTCCCCCCCCCGGCTCATTCCCTTTTTCTTTTTAATTTTTTTCTTTGTTCTTATTGAAATTTAATAAAGATGTAAAAATAGAGTTGACATTTGCCAGCAATTGTTGTCGTACTACTAGAACTAAAGTGAGGGATTTGTTCACAGCATCTTGACAGCTGATTAGTCCATGAAATATCATCACAAAGCTTCACCTGCGGGCAAAAAAAAATTAAAAATTAAAAAACCCAGGCTTGGCAAGAAAATAAGGATTACAGATTTATTGAGATGCAGCTGGTATTATTCACAAATGGATTTCCTGGAACCTGGAACTGCTATCAATTCAGAACATAAGATTGCAACACACAAATCTTTGAAACATTGATTAAGCAGAGTTTGCAAACACAATAATGGGATTGTGTTACTAACAACTCTGGGCTTGTATTTCACCAGTCACCTAAGAGGTAATTGCGTAGTTGGCTCTCACCATCTCATCTCATCCACCATTCAATCCAGACTTGTTGTCATGCAACTTTACCTTTTCCCTAAATTTTAAGGATGCCTTTGTGGCATCTGTTTGACTCAAATACAGAGGCAGAAAGGACTGTCAGAGCTTGGTTGAAGAGACAAATTTCATGATGACTTTAAGCAGTTTTCCATTGCTGGCAGAAGTGTGTAAATAATAGTGTTGTGTGGAGACATGAATAAAAAGAAAAAAAGGAATGAGCGGGGGGGGGGAGAAACAAAATTATGGGGTACAAACAAGGAAACGGAAAAGGAAAATATATTTCCTTTTGGTACTGATATCAACTTCCATATTTCTTTGGTATTGATGCAAATTTCAATTCTTGAAGTTTTCGTTTCTGTCATCATCATCATGAACTCATTTTAAGGATTGCTTTCCTGTTTCATTTATTAAGATATCCTTATTTAAACTAAAATTATGCATTACTTTTTATTTGACCCTTGTAGATCAATATGTTTATTCCTATTACACATAAATGCCATCATACCATCTTTCATCTACTGGTAGATATCACACATTCTTTCTGTTCTTCTCATGAACTACTACACCCGATGGCTAAGATGCCATGTTGTTTATAGAGTCATAAGATGGATTTATGCAATGATGCATAGATTTTTTTTTAAAAAAACAATACTTTGGCTTCTTATAATGATCTCAAACTACAATTAACTTCATGTTTTAAAGCTAAAAATAGGGCAGACCAATTATTGAGACAGGGAAAAATACTAAAAAGCGTTGACACTTTATATGGCTTATCTCTGAACAAATAGTTGGCCAATGATGTTCTTATATCTTAAGGGAAACTTCAAACCCATTTTTAAATTGCGCACTAAAACAATTAACATTTTCTTTTTAGTTCATAAATTAATAATGTCATTAAGACTAATTTGTCAGAGGCAATCTATATATTCTTTCCTTTGGGTGTCATTTTTAAGGTGATTTTTTTAACATAGTCATTTAGTCCATTTAACCAAGGAGAACAACTGCCTCCATTACCCTCTCAGATTGCCGTATTTAAGTTAATCCATTGATTTATGGATAATGATCTATCACAATGAGCAACAAAAAAAGATCTTAATGCGCAGTGAAGACTCCCATTATTATAGCTCTGTAATAATAATGTTGATGCTGTAGTGCAAGCTGTAGTTCCCCCAATCATGGCACAGAGACAGTAGCAGCAGCTTTCAAATGTTAGTCTCCCAGCTTCATTTGCCTTGCCCAGCTGGTTGCGGCCATGGAACAAAGAAGAGAGTCAACAAAGCAGACAACCCAGAAGAAAAAGTGGGGGGACAACAGCTCGACTTTGGCAACGCAGCTGCTTGACTGCTTTTCTTGATTTGTCTCCCCTATCATTTTCATTAACAGAAAATATCTCTGTTTGTACCAGAAACCAAAAATATTCTGAGAAGCAAAACAAGGAAAAAAGGAAATTGTACTGAACGATGCATAAAACATCCTCCTCCTCCTCCTCCTTATGATCTAGCCATTTTCTATCCACTACAGTATGAAGGCTTTTTCCGCATGTTACCAACCAATAAGATACTAAGCTTTCTTTTGCCAACTGGGCCAGAGGTGGGATTCAGCAGGTTCTGAGCAGTTGTGGAGAACCAGTAGCAGAAATTTTGAGTAGTTTGGAGAACCGGTAAATACCACCTCTGACAGGCCTTGCCCCCATCTATTCTCTGCCTCCCGAGTCCCAGTTGATCAGGAGGAAATGGGGATTTTACAGTAACCTTCCCCAGGAGTGGGGAGGGAATAGAGATTTTACAGTATCCTTCTCCTGCCATGCCCACCAAGCCATGCCACACCCACAAAGTCACACCCACAGAACCGGTAGTAAAAATTTTTTAATCCCACCACTGAACTGGGCCCTCAATACTTGCTGATGTCATCAATCCATCTTGTTTTAGGTCTCTTTCGTGGATGCTTTTTTATCAAGTGGGATCCATTCTATGTCTACCTTGGTCCACCTGCCATCAGTTCTTCTTACTATGTGACTGGCCCGTTTCCATTTCTATTGTTTTACTCCCTTGATGATGTTGTATATTTAATACATAAAACAGACAACAAGAATTGCAGAACTGCTGTGGAAATAATATGTGATTATTGCCTCAATTCAAGTTCAGGATATGCCAATAGTCAGTTACAGTTCTAAGGACTGCTTGGCGTTCATACAATATATAAAATATTGAAAGAGTTCAAAATCTAATAAAATATATAACACAGCCCCCCCAATAACTTTTTGTGTGTATTCTGTTGAGTTTTTCTCCCCATTTTCATTAGTTCCCCCAATTTCTGAAAAAAGGCCAATACAGGATTTCCTTTGAAGATTTTAGGAGCTCATTCAAAAGCTAATACACTGGAACAAGAACGCCTGAAGCCAAATGAGAAGCAATTCTAATTTTTCAATATACTCCTTTAAATATTCCCAGTGATTTAAGCCTGAAGGCTGTCATAGTATGAATTAATTGAAATTTTTGAACAGTATTTAAAGACAGATCAAACATGCTGTGGTTGTCAAACCTAGACATTGTTCATGCTTATGCCATGGCAGTTAATTCACAATTTGCTAAGAAGTTGTAGTGTTGCATCAACCTGTCAATGAAAGGAACTTTTAAGATGTTTCTTTTTTCTGAACCAGCAGCAGTGCCATATCCATAAGCATCCTCAAATTGTGTGCCTGAGCCATCATAGACAAACGAAAGTGTGAAAGCAGCATATTACAGGACCTTCCCATAATTGAGTATCTCTGTCTTGTTTGGACCATTTAGCCTATTCATGGTTAGGGCTCCTACCATGACAACTATTTTTTTATTAATAGAGGAGATAAAGCTGAACATACTGTAAAAATAGTGCATCATTCTAAACTGCCTCTAGTTTCATGTATAGATGTTTTAAAATCATGAAAGATACAAAGAAACTCTGTGGAACCTCTTAAAGCATGTTTCTGAGGGCAAGGCTATAGTCTTTTAGCTCTTTTTTTAAGTGGTAGAGATACAGTTGTACCTTGGTACTAATCATTAATTTGCTCTGGGAGATGTGATGAATACCAAAAATGATGAGTATCAAATAATTTTTTCCCATAAGGAATAATGTAGTGAGTCACTAGGCAGCTGACACTGACAGGTTCTGGCTTGTGCATTGAGTATTAAACACACGAGTACTGGGCCAAAATTTTCACATTGAAATGTGTTGAGTACCAAATTTGATGAGTACCAAAGTACCATTGTAGATCTCTCATAATACGGTTTCTCTTAGCACTAGCACTTATATATCACTTCATGGTGATTTACAGCCCTCTCTAAGTGGTTTATAGAGTCAGCCTATTGCCCCCCACAATCTGGATCCTCATTTTACCCATCTTGGAAGGATGGAAGGCTGAGTCAACCTTGAGCTGATGTGATTTGAACTGCCAAACTGCAGCTAGCAGTCAGTTGAGTACTCTGCACTACTGCACTCTAAACACTGGGCCACCTCAGCTCTTGTTCCTCGTCTAATTGGCCAGATGGTCACAATGGAACTGACATCCAGATTGTCAAGATAATCAATTGAGTCGACCATTCAATACTAGAAGGACTGTTTCAATATTCAGGCCAGTCTGGTAAATAGGATATCTAGAAATTCCTAAATTTTCACCACAATATCTTTTTCCAGACATAATATTTTAGAAACTTTGGATTATTTAATTTCTGGCAGCTCCATTTTTAAAAAATGATGTATTCTGGTCTGTCAAATTGTTAGGCTTAAAACACTGACAATAGTTTTATAATCACAAAAGCTGAGCAAAAATTAAAAAAAATGGCTCTATATTTTAAGCATTAAGTGAAAACTGATTTGCAAAATAAATTATGCTAACAATATGGCCCTCTATCTCTACACAGGTAGTCCTCTTACAACCATTCATGACTGTTTGAAGTTACCATGGCAAAAAAATTAGTTACAAAGAGACAAGTTACAAAAAAGACGTATGACCCTTATGACTATTGTGACATCTTCATGGTCATGTGATCAAAATTTGGACACTTGGCAACTGGCATGTATTTATGACAGTTGCAGTGTCCTGAGGACATGTCATCAATTTTTGGGACCTTCTGATAAGCAAAGTCAATTGAGAAACCAGATTAACTTAACCACCACAGTGATTAACAACTGTGGCAAGAAAAGTCATAAAATGAGGCAAATTTATCTCGCTTAGCAATGGAAATTTTGGGCTCAGTTGTAGTTGTACGTTGAGTATTTACAACCTTTTGTGGAGTTGCTTTGACTATACAGCCATAGTTCTCAGTTTTGTTTCTCCGGTGGTACTTAAAGTTATAAGAATATGCAGATCAATTTTTCATTATATTTGGATGGAGGTTAGACCTGAAACTTCACAGAGCAATTCAAACCAAATCAATTATAATTGAGGAATATCTGGAACATAGAATTTTAGATTTCCACAAGGCAATAGACAAATATCTGCCAAGACTTAAAATGCTCCCAAGACCAAGACCAAATTGATTTGGCTTGTCTTCTGCATGCAAAATTATCCACAGCTACAACATTTGGAAACAGCCAAGGCATAATAGGATCTAACTCATAATATTATAGTATAATGCTCATCTAGAACATATTTTTTACTATATTGAAGACTGATCCACTTCTTCTCAATCTATTGCATCTCGTGAACATGCTTCTTGAAAATTCTTCTTTGAGTAAAAAAGTACTGTAACTCATTTCACAAAAACCTCATAGTATTTAACTGCTGGGTAAATATTAATAAATAAATATTAATAAATATATTAATATAAATATTAATCAGTAGGACAAATTTTGTCCAACTTCATTTATTTATTTTTATGCTTTTGATTCCCCCCCAACCCTTATTATTTTATAAATAACTCAAGATGTAGAACATATATAACACTCCTTCCTCCACCTATTTTCCCCACAACAATAACCCTGTGAGGTGGAGTGGGTTGAGAGCGAGTGGCCCAGCTGGATTTCACGCCTAAAATGGGACCAGAACATACAATCTCCTAGTTTCTAGCCACTTTAACAACCACACTAAACTGGCAAACTTTAATCAAGTTGTGATTAAGCATGTAAAAAATTAAGGGAGCCTGATGGGGCAAGGTGGCATGGTGGTTAGAGTGCAGTACTACAAGCTACTTCAGCTGACTGCTAGCTGCAGTTCGGCAATTCAAATCTCACATGCTCAAGGTTGACTCAGCCTTCCATCCTTCTGAAGTGGGTAAAATGAGGACCCAGATTGTTGGGGACAATATGCTGGCTCTGTAAACCACTTAGAGAGAGCTGCAAAAGCACTCTGAAGCGGTATATAAGTCTAAGTGCTATTGCTATTGCTATTGGCATGGAGACCGAGCCGGTTCACCCACAAAACCACGCTCGACTAAACCGCGCCCGACTAAACCGCGTCGCTGACGTCATCAACAGTGCAACAACAGTGCGGAGACAGAAGCACACTGTAAACCCTAAACCTAAAATTAACCCCTAAACCTAAACCTAACCCCCCTAAATCTAATCCTAACCCTAAACCTAACCTTTACCTTAAGTTGAATCGGCTTGCTTTTAAAGCGCTATTTACAGTGTGCTTCTGTCTCCGCACTGTTGTTGCACTGTTGATGACGTCAGCGACGCGGTTTAGTCGGGCGCGGTTTAGTCGAGCGCGGTTTTGATGGGTCACGGACCGAGCCAACAGTAGCAACATTGGAGGCTGGTTCAATAATGATTATATTGTAAGAATGTGCAGCAGGTTAGGGTAAAGACATAACCATGTTGTAGAAATTCTTAGGATGTTCTTTTTAAACATTTTCAATGCTTCCATCCAGAATACACTTGGTGATATTACAGTGGTATCACTAAGTGAACTTGAAGGGGGCAAGGCTAAGTTAAATTGGCAGGATAAAATTGGTTGGACACTTAACACACATTTTATTCCTTCAAAAAAAAAAGAGTAGAAAATTGTTCCATGTTCTCAAGTTTGCTCTGTAATTTTCTAAGGTGGTCTTGGGGGATCCCAAGGCCTCACAAAAGGTATATGGGGTTACATGGACACCCCATGGATTGCTCATATTTGCCCTGAAATGCTTTCTAATAAGTAATAATCCAACAACAATTGTTTTTATTGAACATATTTCTGTATAAGGAGGAAGGAACTATTCAAACTTTATTTATTTATTTATAAAATTTATTGGCAGCCCATCTTACCTAACTTGGGGCAGTTTACAGTCTTTTGGGTTCTACCAATGTAATTTTTAACCCAATACCTTCATCCCTACACCAAACTGGTTTTCACCAAACTGTAAGCATTAGATTTTAAAGAGGCAAAGTATAGAATGCAATGTCCAGTTTGGAAGTGGTAAAAGGAAAAAAACAATAAAGCAGACTACCCATTTTTTGGGCCAACAAATTATTGAGACAATGATAAACCACTGACAACCCTTTTTAATTGTGCAGCTTCTGTCATCCAGAACATCAACCCAAATTATTCACAAACACCCAGGTTGGAAAATAGCTTTGAGAATCTTTTGAGGGTTCCATTATGCCTAATTATAACATGATTAATCAGATGAGGATACTGTACCAAGATTAACCCCACCCAAACTGGCTCGGAATTTTTGCACTTTTTCCAAGATACTTTGAAGGTATCAGATTGGGAAAATTGACATTTACATTGTCCCAGCTGTTAAGATTAATGCTTATTGATTATGAAAATAACAATTCCCCCTAACGAGCAACTGAGTACTTCATAAATGTGACCCAACAGGAAATGTTTTCAAACCCCACATATTTCTTTCTTGTAAAAGAAAAGATATTTTTAAGTACTGTTTGCAATTTTTCTGGGTGGCAGAGGAAGGAAACCCCCCCCCCCACCGTCCAGTCCTGCCTTGGGACCACTTTTTAAATAGTTAGCAAGCATGTGCAAAAAACATTTGTCTTGTTTCTTTGTGGTGCCACAGCAGAGGGCTTCACCCCATTTTTTTTTGTTTTTGTTTGCTGGATTGTAGGAAGAAGTGTTCTCTGACACAAATGGCAGTTGTGTATCTCAAGGATATATGTATCGTATCATGTTAATTGAAGATATAAGAAAGCAGGCGTCACCCTGTAGTTAAATAAGCAAAGGGACTCATTTGCTAGTGCAAGAAAATACACTTAGGCATTAGCTGACTCAAGAGGAGGCTAGTTTGCATATGGCTTCCCAAAGGCACATAGGATGCATTTCAGATAAAGCCTCCTGCAGCGATCTATTCTTCCACACCTACAGAATGGAGCAAAAGAAAGAGATATCGTGCCATGGATCAGCTGTGCTCAGTCTCAGGGCCTTCTCAGTGGCTCTTACTGCCCAGCTGTGCGGAAGACAGCATGTTCTTTATTGCTACTCCACATCTTACAATAGCAACTTTTGAAGGAAGGGTGGTTAGATGAAGTATGTGTGTGGGGGTGGAGAGGAGGGTACCACGACAGGAAAGGTGTATCAGTTGGATGCTTGGCTTGTTGGGGAAAAACAAACAAACAGATTATCTCCCCCCCCCCACCTCCACCATTTTCCATCTCCCAAGGGAGATGCCTCTATTGTCTGGGAAATGAACGGCTTGCTTGGGGGATGCTATTGGCAGACGGATGTAGGGAAGGAGTGGATGGCAAGAAAGCATAAATAAACCCTGGAAAGGAAAGTCGGACGCCAGAGAGACGGAGGGAGGGAATCAGGAAATGGAGGGTGCAAACCCACCACCTCCTTGACCGCCTAGCAGGCAAAGCCCATGCCCTGTACTCGAGCCATACCTGGAGGAGCAGCACCCTTTCTCTGGGAGCTTTGCCTCTGCCCTCTGGCTGGCAGTCGCCTGGACCAGCGCCTGGGAGCCAGCCGCGCCCTCCATGGCCCTTCACACAAACACACACACCCCTTTTCCGCTCTTACGGAGTCTTGGGGGCTGCAGCTGAGGGCGGGTGGAAGGCGCTGTCCGCAGCTCCGCGGTGCTGAAAGCTCGTTCCAACGCTGCAGCGGCGACTCTCGCCACTGACACAGCGCGTGCGCTAATCTTAGGCGACCGGATCGAGGAGGAGACCAGGTCGAGTCGGCCACGTGGTCCGACGGCTGTCAAGAGAAAGAGGGACCGTCTGGCCCCGTTGACGGGTCCCAATCCTCTATTTGTGTTAAAGGACATCTTCTATGGGCCTCAGATTACATTGTCGGTACTGACTAGGGTAACGGGGTTGATAGTCCAAAACATTTGAAAGGCACCAAGTCATCCAAGCTTCTTATCAAGCAACCCGTGTTCCATTTCATGCAAACTGTGTAACAAGTACAGCTTAAAAGCATAAATACTTTCCTGCCATTTTCAATTATTGTGATATCATTTTTTATTTCAATCTCTAAAATGTTTTCATACTTTTTTCAATATTTTCGAACTGCAGGTAAGACTGCTGGATAAATATATAAATGAAACGAAACAAAATATAAGAGCTAATGGCAGTCTAAGCAGAAAATAGTAGTTTTCTACCAAGAATAATCAACAAATAAGCATGGCCTCACAATGCATGAGGGTAATATAGATATCTCTGAGAATAATAGCAAAACTCACCTTGATTTTACCATTTCTATATCATAATAGTAGTTGTCCCAAAGGTGCTTTCTTTTTTCCCCCTCAAAAGCCCATGCCCTGTACTCGAGCAGAAAAAAGAAGCACCTTTGGGACAATCATGATATGGATGATTGAGAATCTCCATAGACTGCATAACATTCTTTTGGGTATTTGGCACTATTTCCTAATGTCAAGGGCAAAGCCTTTGTTCCTCATATCTTGAGAATCCACAACTCATGGAGGAATATTTTTCAAACTCTTGGAGCTATGAAAACCTACTAATAGTAATTCACTGCAATTCAAGTAAGCCTCACCCCTTCTAGATAAAGTCTTAAGAGGGCAAAGAACAGAAGTCCTTCTGTAATGACACATTGCACATTTCTTCAGTGTGAAGTTACTTGAGAGAGCATCTTTTTGCATTTCTTCTATGCAAATCCCAATGAGTTCAACAGGACCTAATTTTCCCTCCCCTGTAAGTGTTCATAGGACTCTAGCCTGGTATGATGGAGAGAAAAAGATGGCTTTCCCACAAATTGTAAGATACAAATGAAAAACTATTGAATTCAAGTAAAAGGATCTTTCTAATTTGTTTAAGTCATAAACTTACTGGTTTTACATGGTAAGTTTGCTGGTTTACAAATGTATATAACAATTGACAGATCCAAGATAGCTAACTAGTATTCCAGCAGAAAAAATAAATCATCTAACAAAAAGATAATGGATTATTTGTTTGAAGTTAAATGATTTGTTCTCTTATGAAGCTTTCAAAAGAAGTTACAAAAATTAAGTAAGCAGCTGAAGTTTATGAGCAAATTGACTTGACAAGGTTCTATAAACATGTCACTGTATTTTTCACTCAGCAGATTTTTGAAGCCCGCAATCAATCATGATGATTTTATTATGAAGAATAGATATGAAAATCTAAACTAGATCTTCATTTGGGAATTTAGGCAATTCAGTGCTAAGCAATTCAGCAGGGATCTAACAAATAAAAAAAAACAATCTAGCTAGGTGGGCATTCTGAATTTCAATATGTGCCATTGTCTGAGTCATCTTTAATTAAAGTGAGGACATTATTAATGTCTCTCTTGAGATATGTTACAAATAAATAAAAAGCATTGGAAGTCTTATCCTCAAGAGGTAATGTGATATGGGCAATCTTTTTTATGCATATTCATTAGGAAGTTGGCTCTAGTGTGTTCACTAAAATTCATTTCCAAATCATTAGGGCAGAAACATGTGCATTTGTATGCAATCGTTTTCTGTGATATGGAACTCACGATAGACGTTAAGGTCTTATTGGAGATAATGTTTCAATTATGGCAAGCTTTCTGCAGAAGCCCATCTCATGCAGAAATCAACTTCTTTTATTATTAATTTTACATTAGGGCTTTGGGTAGATAATAATGAACCTTCAGTCATATTTCCATCACTATTTTTACTGTAGCTTTTATCAGCTTTTAAAGTAATCAGAATTGCTGTATATTTCACACAGTCACTCATTACCCCAGTAACACAGCAGTTTAAATAAAATATATTAAATCTGTATTTATTAAGTGTTACATTATATATTAAATATTATATATTAAAGGCAACACATAATTATAACACTAGAATAGAAATATTTGGAAAAAATAGGGTAGAAATTCAGAATCTGAATTTAACATTCTTGAGTGATTTAAATGAAGCCAATTTAATTCCCCTCCATGACCCATAATTTGGAAATTATAATCCACTCTAAAAGCTTAATAATTAAGCTAAGATACTGCTTGCCTAGCTGTGGAGTCCTCTTTAAAAGCTCCATATACAAGCCAACAATCAAGTCAGCTGCAGAATCAAGTGGGGGGGGGGGAATTACATCATTAATATGAAAAGATTCACTTGTTCCATTATGACCCTATTTGCATTGTTATAAGCACCACTACACTCCATCTTATAAAACATTGGATATCAGCTATCTCAACTGAACCACATTGAGATGGAGGTTGTTCTCTTCTTTGGATTGCTGATCTCCCACAGCATTAGATGGCACTAATGGCCAGACCACCACTTAAGTATGTGTCAGCAGCTGCCAAAAAAGCCAATGCACTCCTAGGCTGCAGGACCAGAGGGATGGCATCAAGATCATGGAAAGTGTTAGTACCTCTCTAAGCTGCACTAGTGAGGTCACATTTAGAATACTGCATCCAGTTCAGGTTGCCATGGTACAAAAAAGATGCTGAGACCCTAGAAAGAGCACAGAGAAGAGCAATAAAGATGATAAGAAGTCTGGAGACTAAACTGTACAATGAAGCATTAAGGGAACTACCGTAGGTAAGTGTATCTTAACAAAAAGGATTAGGAGAGGCAGGATAGCTATCTTCCAGGACTTGAGGGGCAGTCCAAAGCACTGAAGGGCAGGACAAGATACAATGGATGAAAGCCCATTAAAGAGAGATCCTACTTGTTACACACATCAGCATATGCCCCAAACATGCCTTGCACAATATAGGCACTTACTATATTCTAATGCACTTCTGCAGGGAACAATTTCTGCAGGAAAGTGCATGAAGATACATTTCTTTAACCTATGCTGTTATGTGGAATAGAAAACATACTACTCTCCGGTGCATAATAGGGTGAAGTGAAGGAATTACAATGCTGATTTTTTTGTTAAAAAAATAAGTGTTTACTGTTCCTTTTTTATTTAAGTTCAGTGTATATACTGTATATTGAGAACTACTGAAATATGATAGAAAACTGAGAAGCTGAGAGAACTTCACTGGCTCTGTAGTTTCCATCCTGTGACAGAAGTCAGGAGTGCAATTCACTAAGCAGCTCATAAATAAAGTAAGGTAGAATGAAGAGCAAGGAGTCAATTTTTACTGTTGATTCTGATTTACTATGCCTTTATTATTCCAGTTGCAATCTATGCAACATTCCAGCTGCAATTTGGACCATAAGAACGGCTGAGCACCAAAGAATTGGGGCCTTTGAACTATGGTGCTGGAGAAGACTCCTGCGAGCACCTTTGACTGAAAGGTGATAAGTCCTAGAAGAGATCAACCCTGACTGCTCTTTAGAAGGCCAGATCCTGAAGATGAAACTCAAATACTTTGTATACCTAATGAGAAGGAGGGAATCACTGGAGAAGAAGAGCCTAACGCTGGGAAAGATTGAGGGCAAAAGAAGAAAGGGACGACAGAGAACGAGGTGGCTGGATCGAGTCACTGAACCAGTAGGCATGAGCTTAAAAGGACTCCAGAGGATGGTAGAGGATAGGAAGGCCTGGAGAAACGTCGTCCATGGGATTGCGGTGGGTCGGACACGACTTTGCAACTAACAACAACAAAACTTTGATGCCACCCATCTCCCCTGTCAGGTGATTCTATTCTTTGAAGGATGCTTATAATTATTGCTATATTTTTAAAATAAAAAAAGTAATTGATTACATGTCTTGTACAGAACCCATACCCATACATGGTAACAGAGAGAG